ACCTCGCTGGCCTCACTGTAGAAAGTATTCCACTCTGGTAGATCATGTGCTTCCATCTTCACGGAGCTCAACATCCCCAAGACAAGTCTTTGGAGGAGAAAGACTTATCTATGACCGGGTTGTTTGAGAACCAAAAAATCAATATAGAATTCCTTGCAAAGTTGTTAATTTGCGTTGAAAACAAAAAAAATGCCAAAGTAGAAAGTTGTCTCCTCTTTGGCAAGAAAGAGAGAGAAGTATGTAGAGCCCAAAAAAAGACGAAAGAAGCAAACAAACACAATGTGACGCTGTGCTCCTGGGAATAGTAAAGTCTTATTTGTCAGCGGTCCATTGTTTTATAACCTTATTCGTATTATGGCTCAGCAGATGTTGACTTCTTCCAACCCGTTTTTCTATCTCTCTGTCCTCCGTGGCCCTCGGGACGCAGTGTGTGGCAGTGCGCAAATACAGTGGTGCAACCTGGACGTCCTCCTCTTATAAGGTGCCGGCGGGTCCCGCCCTGCTCCTGACATTTGAATACCAGGAAGGGGCCTTGCAAAAAGGCCGATGTGGCCCCCTGGCGTGCTGTATATTGGCCGGCGGCTGTAACGGGGGCCACCCGGACGAACGACAGTAATCCTTCAGTGGTTGAGTGAATGCATTTGTATCATGTTGAGCAGAGTCGTGAGGTGTTCATAGCGGTAATATGCTCGAAGGGGAAATATCAAACCGATTTTACATAAACATAATGTTATAAATAGGAACCAAAACGCCAGCATGTGGCGCACCCTGATGAACAGAATATTAAATTGGACTTTGAACAACAAAAAAGCAACAAAACTAGGTCAATATGTCGAATTACGTCTATTAGAGTTGTTTTTTTGCTCGTGGTCCGTGTGTGTGTGTGCGTGCGTGTGTGCGTGTGTGTGTGTGTGCGTGTGTGTGTCCGGGGCCTTTAAAGTAATGTGTTCTCTCGTCTCTGGAGATGAAGCTGGTTGTAAACTGTTAAAATAGATCAAATAAATCAATAGAATAAAGACATTGTTGATTGGTGTTGCATATTTTCTTGATAATCATGAAACAAAATCAGGACATAATTTGAATAACAGTTCTCAAACACAAAATAAACGAAACGCGAAACAAAGACAGCAGACCATTAGATATAATGGATATAAACAAGAGCAACCAAACACTTTCCAAAAATACACACAATTCCATCCCACTCATTTCTCCCGCTAATTCAGACATTTCCACTATTCCCATATTGAATGCAGCACATCTAAACTCAATTAAATCTTAAATAAACCAACAAACACCTGAACTTTTAACCCTCGTGTGCGCAGTCCGTGCGCAAACGTGGCAAAGAGAGAATTCTCCTTTTTCATTTTGTTCTCCATCAGAGGCCTCTGCGGCCCGCCGCCACGGAGCAGCACAATAAATGCAGTGATCCGGGTGTAAATGCGCAGGGCCCGACTCCTGTGTTGGGGGGGAATACACATCGGCCTCGGTGCAGACGGAGGCCCGTGAATGTCAATGCCTCTGCCTAATGGCCAGTCAATGGGGATGTAATTGATGCGCAGGCGGGAGGTCGACGGGATTAAGTCTGTGAAAAAAAAAGATCTGGAGGAAATAAAGAATGGGAGGAAAAGCGCATGAGCGCGCACAGATGCAGCAACAATAAGTGTCTCGGTTTAACCGCACATACCGGATCCAATGTTTTACATCTCAAACGTTGTGAAACGACGCAGCTCCGCGTTGCCTTCAATGACCCGACGACTCATGAGTATCACTTTGACAATCAACCCACACGGTGACGGGTTTCTTAATATTTACCACCGACGTGTCAGCCAGTCGTCAAGCTCCAGCTCTTACAAATATCCATTCACGTGGTCACATGGGCCATCACCTGGAGAGACTCGGCGATTATCGCCTGTTTAAATGCGCTGTCAGATCGATTAACACGTGGAGAGAACGTAACACCTCCGGGTCTGTAATGATGTAATTAAGCCGCACTGAGGTGAGCATCTCGCATGTGGATGGGGAGACCTGCGGCAGTTAGATAAAGAAAAGAAGAAAGAAGATTAAAACTGTGACCTCCAGCTTGTGATCTTAATAGTACTCATAATAATGCAAAAACGGAAACCAGGTATTAACATTTGATCTTAACCAATATTGAAATTAAATGTATGGTTTTCATGGGAATGAACAATCAGAGGCCAGTAGAGGCTGTGGATTCAGATGATGAGGCATATTAGCAGTTTTGCTGATAGCTTTGTGGCATTAAGGTGCCATTTGGAAATCTGGGACTCACATGTATTCATATTTGCCGAAAATCCACCAAAACCGTGAGAATTTAGCGGTTTTGGTCGATTGTCGCCAGCTATTGTCGACGCCATCTGGGCTTATATAAATTGAATTTATATAAAGTATAGTTTCTTCAGGTGGATGTTCATTGGAACTGGTACATTCAAGTTAAACCCCGACATTAATAAGAATCTCTGGTTGCACCTTGAGGGGCCCAACACACATTTCTCCATCCCATCTCCTCTCTTCTCATTCCAAGGGGCCCCGCCATCGCCCATTAACACCTCTGTGATTGGTTTAACAAAGCCGACACTAATGGAGGAAACGGCACATTGGCCCACCGGGGGCACGGCGGCCAGCTGATCGATGCTGCAAGGGGGGCGGGGGGGTGGTGATAAAACCCACTCTCGTCTTCCTTATGATTGCGCTAACAGCGCCACCTGGTGGCCGCTAGAGGGGAGTTCCTGCGTCTCGTATGTTGAGTTCTTCAGTCTGGTAAACATTTTTCTTTTATATATCCCAAAAGCTTTAAAGCAGTTTGCTCATGTATTAGTGCTTGAACATAACATAAAGTTCAACACAATAAAGTAAAATCTTAACTGCTGTTTGAATCTTGGAATCAGATTATCTGGCAGATACACAATATTGTTGCACCACTGTTATCATAAACCCAACACACCTAGGAGGCACATGCTAATACTTTAGTGTTCTTCTTCTAAATTATGTCCAAGAGGTTCAATTGAGTATGTGTGGACTTTAATCCATGGTGTGAGGGGTCTGACTGCTCAAGTCAATCCGATATTACATGTATTTCTAATAACATGTTACAATAACACTGTTTTAAACTGTGTTTCTGCCCATCGTTGTGTTGGTGAAGCTTAAACGCTTGCAGATCACTGCGGGAGACGATGTGTTGAGCACGGAGCTGCAAAAATGATTGTCCAATTTTTGGTGAGCCTGTGCGAATTGTAGTTTCCTGTTGTCAGCTGACAGGAGGGGCCCCCGGTGTGCTCTTCTTCTTCTCCTGCTGCTGCTGCCCATCTTCATCAAGGTTCCACGTGTCGTGCGTTCAGAGATGCTATTCTGCATTCCTTGGTTTTAACGAGTGGTTATTTGAGTTACTGTTGCATTTCTATCATCTCGAACCGGTCTGCTCATTCTCCTCCGACCTTTCACATCAACGAGGCTTTTTCGTCCACACAACTGCTGCTCACTGGATATTTTTTCTTGTTCGGACCATTGTCTGTGAATCCGAGAGACGGTTGTGCGTGAAAATCTCAGATCAGCAGTTTGTGACGTACTCATACCAGCTCGTCTGCCACCAACAACCACACCGCGTTTAAAGTCACTCAAGCACACCGTTTTCTCTGTGAAGGCAATGAGGTTCCTCTCTAGAGATCTTCTCCAACAAAATATGAAAGGAAGGAGAAAAAAAAGATCATTGTAATCCTATGAAGTCATTATCACTTGCTGGTCAGCAAACATTCACACTTTGTGTCAGGCAACCGATCCAGGATGCACCACGTCTCTCGCCCCACGTTAGCTGCGATAGCCTCCAGCCCCCCTGCGACCCGGCATGAAGGATAAGCGGCTTTGAAGATGGACGGTCAGCAAACAGGACGGAGAAAATGAAACGCCACAAGATGCCGATTGCAGTAGAAAATAGAAACGCAGGAAAATCTTTTCACAGGACAAACCGAGACTTTCAGAGACTGAAAACCCCCACGTGGAGGTCATTTGATGTGTATTTGACAATTATAGACAAATATCTTCTGTAAGACTTCTGTAAAAATGATTACAGAGAGGAAAACACAAAACTCACATTTACAATGAGCTCTGTGTAATCATAAGAATATATTCTTCTATATGTAGGAGAGAATACACCAAATATTAATAAATAAGTGGGGGCAGCATTATCACACCCCAGAAATATCTGATTACTCCCGTTCCTATCAAATGATCACAATATGTTTTTGAGGTTCTGTTGTATTTGAAGTTTGTTTTTCCCCCTGCATGATATCTCGCTCTTTCAATTTTCAGGAGAATTCATTTCCTGTTTGATGACCAGCAAATGATTATGATTAAAGTGAGATTACTGCTGCTCTCCTTCACAAGCTTGAATAGCTGCTTTAATGGGTGAAAAACACAAAAATAAACTCTTAATTTAAGAGCCCAACAGTGTTGTCTGTGCTGTAGCAAATCAAAATATAATCAGCATTATAATGCCTGGAATCAGCAGGTAGAATTCCAGCATCTTGATTGGTTACCTCAGTGGTTTAACTCAAGAAGCAGAGGAAAACAGAGAAAACAAGCACGTGTTTGCATCACGTTTATTCCTGCTATCTATTCCGTCCCTGGAGAAGGTGACCCGTAGACCGTAAGGTGAGGAAGTGCCTTGTGTGGAGAGCAGAAGTCGCTGCTGGCGACTGAGGGGGAACGCTTTCAGGTGAATCATTAACTGGACAATAAAAAAAATAATTTAAAAAAGCCATAGCTTCCCCTGAGGTTCCCAGACACACAGACGCTAAAGGATTTAAAAAGGCACTTAACGAGGGAATTGCATGATGTCTCAGTGCATATTAAACAGAAACAATTCCACTTCTTCAAAGACAATCCTCTACAACAGACCAGCACTACGGGATATTCTCTCTGTGTAGAAAGCCTACAATAAGCACATGTTAGGGTTACTTTTGTCTCAATGAAATACTAGACTAGTGTAGAGTATTTTAGTTTATTAATAATTAGTTTGTGCTTGTCAACTAGGATGAGATGATGTGTGTCACAATACGATTCCATTTAATTGCGATAAATGATCAGGTAGAATCATCGCCCAGCCCCTAACGATGCACATAAAGGGAGAACTGACCAAAAAAAGTCCCTGCAAACTCTTCGATCAGAAGTGTCTGTTCATCCACATCAGTTCCACATACATGAATGGATGTGACTGGATAACAAAGTGTACAGACCGTGCGCTTGTTTGCTCAAATCAATACCAATTAATGTCCCCATCTGTCATCGTTGATATAAAACTGTTAAAAGTTTCCACTCTTTCTCTCGTCACATCTCTCTTTTGGTTGGAAGTAATACATCAACAAAATAATAATTATTATGATGATGATAATAATAATAATAATAATTAGTATTATTATAATAGCAATTGGTATTACATCTACTGTTGGTTTCTCAGTCAAAAAAAACGTAGAGCTTTCTGGAAATGATACACAATTATATTTAATCACATATTCCAAACCGTTGCATATAATATGACTAAAGATTGTACATACGATCATATATCTATACAGTATAGAACAGTTAACATTCTAGTATAAAATATATTCCTAGGCCTATCAATAGATATCTTTTCATATACATTCGGGGTAAAGCGTAGGCTGGGCTGGATCTCGTATGAAAGCAACATTTAAATACAGAGAACACATCTGGTCTATGTTTAGAAGGTTGTTTCTAAACGCGGAGTCAAAGACAGCTTTATTTAAAGCTGATTCAAAAAAACAAATGCAGGGACATAGAAATGTTGTTACTTGGCATTCTGCCCTTATCTCATGTTGGTTGACATGTATAGTCTTTAAGGATTTATTTTCTTCCGTTTCATTTAAAAAGAAAAAATAATGTCAGATTGTGCGCCGAAAGACAGATTTAGTCCAACCAAATATAAAATATATAGAAATATATATTGTATTTAAATTTAAGGTAGACCTTTAAGAATGGCAAGGTAAAATATTTCAGTGGCACGGCGAGTTCCAACTAGAGCAGCCTGAGTTTTGTCGGATGAGTCGGACCTCCTGCTGCAGGCAACAGCTTGTTTATTAACGACAAAGATACAGAACTATAACGCGGTTTGTGGTCATCTGCGTTGGATTTTGTCGAAACAAGCTTCTGTGCTCTCACTATATTACATGCACTGCTACAACAAACACTGCACCGTGGCTGCTTTCTGTGAGCTCCAGAAGGGCGATTTGGAAGGATAAACTACAACTAAACAAAGCAGCTATAGTAGCTACCGTTAGCAAATAAAACCAGTGGCAACGCTATATCAATACACTGGCAGCCATTTAGAGAAAAAAAAAAAAGACATTTCAGTTGTCCTGATGGCACTGGTCGTTTCTTACCGTGCAAATTTGGGTTGGGGTGTGAACATATTTATTGGGCGATGGTGCCGTACGTTGTTGTTTGTAGAAAAGTGAAACAATCTACGTGTTGCTTGAGCCTGTTTATTTTCCAGCTGCTGACAGTAGCTATCTGGGGGGGCTAAAGTGGGCGGCAATCTTTCAGGATACTACCGACTCAACAAAAAGTAGCCACAGTTCAGCTGCTGGTTGGCCCTGATTATCTGGCTCACACAGTACATTGTTAAAGGCAATTTTAAGTCTGATGAATGTTGGCGGTGTGAGCAGCTGGAGTCAAGACCTTCGCAATGGAGGTTTTCTGCACGTGGATTGCTGCGTTGCTTCTCATGTGGGCCTTCATTGCAGACGACTCCTTCGCGTATGTGATACGACTCTGGAGTAATAAAATTCAAGAAGGAAAAAACAATAAAACAAAAAACAATTGTTGGGCATGATGATCAACCCAACATATGTGTGGTTTGGATTGGGAAAATATAATGGGAAAAACAGTTAGCAAACTTTTCCAATACTGCCGCTTACTAAGGAGGGTTAAGGTGGCTGAGTCATTCTGTAAGCCTCCCTCTCTCCATCCCAAACATTTCCTAAATATAAGACCATTTATCCCTTTATTTCTATTCAATATTCCAAAGAACCTGGATGACAACTACAAAATCCTGGTAAATCTGAGTAATCTATGATTCAAGATTTGTATTGATAAAATAATAATAGAACTGCCTGTAGAATTGAAACTAATATATATATATATATATATATATATATATATATTCAACGGATATTTATTCAGAAAGATCCACATTTGGATCCTAAAGCGGTTGTAAAAAGAAGATGGCGTAAACTAAGGTGCCGTCTTGTAATGCCGCCCCAATCCAAAGAAACCTGCCTGTTTGGTCTAAGGTCCTGGTTTGGTTTCCGTAGAACATCATCACGTCTCTCTCTCTTTTTTGACGGTGATGTCTCCACTGCCGGCTCCGCTGCCGGCTGCGGTTCCGGGCCCGTTCCCTGCTCCGGGTGCGGCAGCTGAGACGGCTCCAGCGGTTCCAAGGATGGTTGAGACTTCTCCCTGCATGAAGGCCCAAGGGGGACTGTTGGGCGAGATGTCCAATGGACAGCGCTCTTCGCTGGGGCAGTAGACCTCCCCGTCGCCTCGCCGGCTCTGGATGTACACTCTGGTGCACGGGAAGCAGAACCTACAGGGTAGCGAGGACGTTACTACAATTACCAGGGAGACATAACGATTACTATCTGATCAAGCAAGAAATTCTGTTTTGCAGTATATACAATTGAAAAACCATTAATGACCACAGTATACAAAGAGGTTTTAAATGTCTTAATTGGTCAGACTAAACGCACCAAAACAGAAATAAGCGAATTGCACTACAGCAGCAAGACAAACAAACCTATGCCCTGGCACCGATGGACACTGAACAAAGTGCGTGTCTTCCAGCCTCTCGTGGCACAAGGTGCAGGACAGAGTGTTGCCAGTCGAATGGGTGCTGCTGGCAGACGCCGATCCCAGCTCAGAGGCCCCACTGTGGGGTAACGCCGCGGCTGTGGTGGCCGCTTCCGCCGAGGTGCCGGATCCCAGGGGCTCCCCTCCGGACCTCGAGGGTGGGGGCCGTGGCAGCCTGGCCGGAGACGAGGCAGGCTTGGGACTGGTCTGGCTCACGCCTCCGGCCGCCGTCGAGGACGAGGAAGGCATGCCTGCGTTCTTGCTGGCGCTGCTGCCGGCCCCGGCGGTGTGGACCTGGGGTTGTATCTTGGCCTGGTTCTGGGACGAACTGAGCTCTCGTTCCAGCTCCGGGGTGATGAAAGGGGCAATCCCCATCCCGATCCCCAGCTGTCTGCGGCTCATCTCGGCCAGCACCGGGGCAGGGAAGATCATGGGGCTGCTCCTGGCGGTCAGGCCCGCAGGCAGTAGCCCGTGTGGAATCCCAGCCATACTTTGAGTGACTAGACTGGGGGGGATGGCGGCGCCTAGCATGGGTCTCCGGCTGCCGCCGGGGCTCTGGCGGTTCAACTCCTGAGGCTGCTGCCCGTCACGGTGCATCCCGTTGGGGGGAACACGAATAGCCGACACGGTGCTTTCTCCTCTTCCCCCCCTTTCGAAGCGGTCCATTTGCGGCCTGGTCCCGTCCGTAGAGCCGTCTCCTCTCCCAGATGTGGAGTGTTTATTGGGCGAGGGGCCAGGCGACCTGACGTTACCGTCCTGAATCCCGTGGGTTCGTTTGAGTTGTCGGGCACTCGCTATCAGGAACTCAATCTGATTAGCTCCCTCGTAGTTTACGCAGCCGCGGCAGACCACCTCGCTGAAGTCCCACACCACGGTCCACGGCGTCTTTGGCAAGTCGCACAGGTAGCACCACTGGCGCCGGGAGGAGGACGGGGACGACATGGCTGGACGACACAGCTAACCTGAGCGGGTTCAACGAGCCAGCTAGCTTAGTAACGTGCTAGCACACGTTAGCTAACGCTAGGTTAAACTATTAGCTTTAAGAGGTGCACTCCTACTTCTGGCTTTCGATTTTTACCTTAACTGGCTTCAAATTGATTTAGAATAATTACAAATCATACGGTTGTGAAAGTAGAATAAACTTGTAGGTTGTTTTGGCTCCTTTTATCATATGTTTGTTTTGTTTACCCAATTCGGCCCGCTCCTAACTGCTGTCAACTGCTTCCCAGGCGGACAGAAGGACGTTACGTACACTTACGAAATGCATTGTGGGTGTTGGAGTTTCCTCGACTGTTTTCTACAACGTAAACCAACTCACCCTGCATGGTGTTGGGACTACAAGTAAAACGGGCACGGAAGTGAGGTAAATAAGTCAGAGGTCATCCGGTGTCAACACATGTGCGTCCGCCGCAGCCATGCTTCTTGAGCTAGTAAACTTCTAACCTTTTAGCGGGTTTGTGTTTATTTGTGTGCATAAAAATGCCTCGAGCAGTATCATCTCCATCCAGCGAAGATGAAGAGGAGAGTCTTACAACAGAATCACCTGAAAAGCAAAAAGAAACCGGTGAGTTCTCACGCTTTGTTTTCCGCAATGCTGTTGTTGGTTTGCCAGTTTCACCCAGTGATACAAAGCAAACTAGCTTAGTAAATAGCGAGTACAGCAGAGAACCGTAGACTTCTGAGATCCAGGCTGTGAGGATTCACTGTGTATATTTACCATTTGACTCGCGTGTTTAAAGTCCACATCTTTCTAAGCACAGGTGTTTAAACAGTTTAACTCTGCAATCCTCAAAAGCTTTTTGGCTATTCTCTTCTAATGTTAAAGCCAACGACAGAAGGCTCCTCCGTGTATTCATATTTTGTCGCTGTGTTATGTATTCATGAAATGATCAATGCGTGCCGTTTGGACCCACAGAGAAGAAGAGCCGCATGTACCAGTGTCCTGCTGACTTTGTGCCTTTCTGCCATAAGCCCTGCAGAAGCACTCTCACAAAGAGTCTGAAGACCAACAAGGATGAGTTGTGGCTTATTAAAGCTCCTGCCAACTTTAACCCGGAATGGTGGGTACTCTCTAACTCTCTGAATCATAAACCTGTTCTGGTGTCGTTGCATAGTATGAATCCAAAATCTCAATCTTAAAAAAATGAAATCGTATATAGGTGAGGTTTTGAGGCTTTGTTACTCTTGCCAATGAATTAGATAATTTTCAGTGAACAGCAATCACTTTTTACTCAAAAGTCACAACGACAAAATAAATGGTGATTCTTAAACTAAGACTACTAGTCTGTTTGAAGATACCAACGAATGTCAAAAAAGTAGTGCTGTACTAGCTTTTTATTTTCCATTCAATTTTAAATGTAATGTATTTCTATTGGCAAAAATTTCCACTTTCTTGCGTCGGAAAAGACAAATTACAACTTTGGCAAACAATTACAGGAATGACACCGTAATAGCACTACGTGCACTAATAAGAGCAAAATAAATTAGAAATTGCTTTTGATTTTAAAAGCCAGCTGAATTTAAATATAAATGATAATAAAAACAGTATCAGTAATAGAAATGTGACTAATCGTTATAACAATAGTAGCCAGGCAGGGCCACTTTCCAGATATAACCAGAAGACGCGACTATCCCCATGCTCCACTTTAAACAATCTATTTAGCAACTCGTGTTGCAGCATGAGTGGTAACAGCAGGGGCACTTTGCCTGCTGCGACCGGCAGGTGGAGCTGTAGATGACCTCCATGCTATCGGCAACTGCCAAGCCTTTTTATTCACTTAATACCGCTCATTTCAGATTACACAAGACGCGATTACAAACGCAGACCAGCAAAAGCACACACAATGAGATCAATAAAACAAAAGGAAATTAATACAATATCTGGAAACGGGCAGTCGCAATTTAAACAGTTCTACATATGAGAAGCACAGATGATACAGAATTCATTGTGTTCAGTTGACTGAAGCCTCATCGAGGTCCCTCAAACAACATGACGTAGTACGGCGTAAACATTGTATGACCTCCACTCTCTCCCTTCAGCTTCAGCAGTGTCAAGGTGCCCCTCTCGGGTTTCCAGACCCTGAAGGTCCCCGCGGCAGCAGGTGGAGCCAAGACGGGGAGCGGCCATCAGATCTACAGCGTCCTGGCGTCCCCCCACAGCGCCCCGGAGCTCCGCCTGCTCACCAGCAAAAAGCAGTCATCGGGCAACGTGGTTTTCGGTCCGGCCTTTTCGGGCCTCCTGAACGTCTGCGAGAGCTACGGAGACATCGGCGCTAACCAGGCCCCTCAGGTCATCCGCGCTGCCCCTCCACCCTCCATACCGCCGGGACTGAAGCAGCGGTTCCACCCTTTCGGCAGCAAGACCCCCACGTTGACCTGCGTGGCGGAGAGCGAGTTGGACGGGGCCGCCTTGGGACCCTCGTCTACAACCCTCCGCCCGCTGGTCGTCAAGCGCTTTGTGGAGGAAACGTGGCAGGAGGAAGACGGGAGGAAAAGAAAGAAGAAGAAGAAGGAAAAGCGAATAAAGGTGGAAGTAGAGGAGGAGGAGGTGGTGGTGGTGGTGAAAGAGGAACCAGTAGAAGAAATTCCAGAGGAAGTTATGGTAGAGCTCCCCTTCCTAGAGGACAACGCTTCGGAGGAGAGGAGAAAAAAGAAGAAGAAAAAGAAGGACCGGGAGCGACAGGAAGTGGAGGAGGGTGTGGAGCCCAGCGTGGCGTTAAAGGAGGAGGAAGAGGTGACGGTGAAATGTGAACCGGTAGACGCTTCGTACGGCGACGTCGCAGAGAGCTTGACAAGGAAGAAGAAAAAGAAGAAGAAAAGCAAGACTGCTGACGACTAGCCCCGCCGTGGGATTTTAGTTTTTCTTTTGTTTGTTTTGGGCCTGCTGGAAGCCATTCTACTACTAGTTTACTAATGCAGGGCTTGCTCTGGCAAGGACATCTTCTCACTTCAACATGGAGAGTGACCGTTGTACACGAGTTCTGCCAGTGTGTTGTCATGTCGTGGTGTCGGTTTGCTGGAATCGCGCTCACACACTGTCTTACTGTAATAACACAGTTCTGTAAACCAGAGACAATCTGGAAAGTGTCACGTCATTTTTATTTTAAAGGATCTGAGTCGCATGTATTTGAGAACACATGTTTTTAAAATAAACTCCAATAACTCATATTAAAGACATGTGTTGGGGATTTTCTGTGCTTTGATTTAGCAGTGATTTCATCCTGAAGAAATGGAAATAGAACTGCTGAACTCCAGATTTAAAATTTTGCGACAATAAGAATGTGCCATATAAACAGATTTGTAGTAATATAAAGATTTCCAGTTTTAAAAGGGAGTTTGCATTGCTTAAACTCTGGAAAATCTGTTGTTGACAAACATGTAATTTACTAAATATATTTCCTGAATCGAAAGCGCGGTATATTTGGCAATACACTATCGCAAAATAAGGCTGCTGTTGATTAGGTTGAGATTAATGTGTGAAAAACAAAAACTGACCTTTTTAGTAAATGTATCCATTTCCCTCCGCACTCCGCCGTAGAAAATGTTTGACAATCTGCTGAAGTTTTACTTGACTTATTTTCACATCCAATTCCCTTAAGTACTTTGACTGAGGCTGATGACTACTATAATATGAAAATAACTCTTCAAGGCTTTAAACTGTTGGCATGCTGAAAGTCTTTTCAAATAATACTGCGTGTCGGCACAAAACATTGGCATCAAAACCCCTGAAGGTGGTTGATACCGAGTCCATAAATCTTTGCTATCTGGCGAGCAGAAATTCCTCTTGTGTAAAGAGGAACAAGCAGCTGTGACAAACAGATGGCGCCAGACTCCACCGCTTCTCTTACATGGAGCGGTCGGTCTTTCTCTGAACATCTGAGCTTTTTGTTGACAAGCTGGCATTTACTTCCACTAACGCAGATCTTCTGTTACTGTTTACACACGCACAGTGACCAGATTCCCACGTTTCTTTTGCCCCGATAGCAGCGAACCACAACATCTCTGTCACACTGGAAAATCTTGAGTTCGGGCTCTGCATTCTCCTCTCATGTCCCCCACCCCCACTCTGCTCTGCACCGAAGTATGGTCCTGCTTCTTAATGAGCTCCGACACCTCTGGTGCTATCTCACCATCTGTAGTAACCCTCTGCACACGCTGCAAGGCTTTATTGATCCAGCCTCCTGTGTGCGTTCACATTGTGTGACTCATTCTGAAGGTTTCAGCTGGACACAAAATGAACCAAACCTCTTTTAAAAAATCGTAACCATTACACACCAAATATGGACTTTAAAAGTAATTGTCTAATCACCGAATTAGACCGAGCATCATAGTGTTTGGGTTTTTTCCCAGTGAGTATCATCTAATGCCAGACTTCTCACATGCATGTTGAATGTGCGTGTAACCGCCTGGGCTTCTGAAGGCATGACTTCATATGTAACCGACCGACAGTGTGTGTGTGCAGCTGCCTGATCTTGAAGAGGATTTTTGACATACTGTAACAGACTGACATCTTAGGCGAATGAGAGTTCCAGGCAAAATAAGGTCGTCACGTTTACCGAGGTGAGGTGGTCAGTGAAGGTTAAAGTCGTGATCTGTGAAGCCTCTGAATCATCCTATCGACCTACGGGCATCTAGGTGGCACAACTAAGGGCGCCTGCAACTGTCAGAGAGCGGGAAAGATGATGATGTGTTGCGGTGGGCTTGCTTGTGTGTGTGGAGTCTGGCAAAGACCGGTAGCTGTGGTTCGTGTTCTTGAGGGTGAGTTATGTGTTGTTTAGGTGTAGGCTACGGCCCACAGAGCCCTGTTTCTAAATAAAAGGATGATAGGCAAGTTGAATACTCAAACTTCCTTAGTGAGAGGGCTCGCTGATGACATTGAGGAGCTGGTTGACGGCACCTGCAGTCACTTGCCTCCTTCCATCCAGAGTGAGCTAGGCTCCGCTGCCAGCCGACCTGCGCCTCCCCTACTGGCTCACCCAGCGTCGCTGCAGGAGGCTTTGGAGTCAGCCTCGGAGAGGGAGGCCGTGCGCTGGACAAAGTTGTTGAAGAGGAGATCTGCTGGTGTGACTGAAATGGACATGGTGCCGCCTGCCTGGGTGGGGGAGTTGATCCAGCTTGTGAGGGCTGTCGCTCTTGACGAGAGGCCAGGCCACCCCCAAGAGTCCGCGGAGGAAGTGGGCAGCCGGGCTACCTGGTCAGGCACTTCCCCCGTACTGCCGCAGAAAAGGGGAACGAGACAGAGGCCGCATAATCTGCACATCTGCCTGCTACAAAAAAGGGTGGCATTTGATCGGACAGAGGAGAGACACAGAGAGGGTGGTGGATTATCAGAGCAGACAGTTCCACAAGGTTGAATGTCACTACTGTGTCACAAGGCGGGAGCTGCTTTGCTGTAGTCAGTGCCACCAGATCTTTCAGATATTACAAATACTCCTCACGGTCCGGATCGACCACTCTGCCTTACAGTGGCTCATGTATTTTAAAGAGCCAGAAGGCTAGTTGGCTTGCTGGATTGAGGTGTATGATTTCACTGTGATCCACAGATCAGGGGCACGCCACGGAAATGCCAACGCACTTTGCAAATTATATTGCTACAGCGCGGATGGATGTGTCTATTGTGAGAAAAGACAGTCACAGTCGCGGCGGCGAAATGTGCTGCAGCAGGCCACGAACTGACAGCTGTGGACGCAACAGATTGGGGTTGCAGACAGGAGTAAGAGGTCGACACAAGGCCAGCGCTCACTTGTGTGGGGGCCCAGCGGCGAGGCCTTATGTTTCTGAGCCACAAAGGGACTCGGGTCCATATTTTAAATGCACAGGGCTGGAAAAAGCCAGTAACGTGAGAGATACAGTGGCAGGTGATGATGCCGAGGGCACTAAGGGAGAAAGTTCTCCACTCAATGCATGGACCTTGTGGATCTGATCAATCTTGGGTTATAAAGACCTTAAGGTCAGTCAGGGCACGTATGGTTCCATCTGGGTCTTATCTCACCCTGGACTGCCTTAAGTCACGGGCTCACATCAAAGGTCACATTCCTGAGAGCCTCACCCTACGCAGGCTCAACAATTTCCCCCCAACAGCCACTTCTGCCAGGGCTTCCACCAAGGCAGCACAGGCGGGATGTGGAGGACTGCTGCCGCCCTGCGACAGTTTCCAGCAGGGTGCCCATTGGAGAGGGGCGGGATTGATGTTCACGGACTGTTTCCCTACAGAGAGACAGGTAACCGGTATATCCTACCTGCCATGGACTATATTCTACAGACTGTAAAGTCCTCTGAGGCAAATGTGTAATTTGCGATTTTGGGCTATACAAAATAAAATAAAATGAATTGCCTTGTTTATTTATTTTATCTCTAGTATGTTGTTTCCGAAAGCCCCCCGGTAGTTTTCTTGGGCTTTCATCGACTTTCAATCGACTTCGTGATTGGTCGGAAAGTTTTTCTTTATTTAGAAAATCACTGTTTAGTATTCACTGAAGAGCTGTGTAGTACATCGACGCCCTCGCTAAATGTCGACTAAATGACGGCCATTGCAGTGTGTATTCATGTATGTGCATCTTGTTGTGCAGCTTCTTGAATTTGTCTGAATATTTTATTGAGATTGCATACGTTTTCTGTCTGTCTTCCAAAGAAAACGTCAGATTTTTATCTAAAATCTGTCACATGTGAAATTCACTATCAGCTGATGGATCAAACAAGAGGTCACTGCCCTTCTCTGGTGCATTCGTCTCACTTCGCTGCTCTGAGTTGCCATTTCCACCAACTCACCACTCATTTCTCCGAGGTAACAAAAAAAGAAAAATGATGTTCTGTATGGCAAAGTTCACATTAGGAGCACTACTTCTTTAACAATGTCTGCCGAGTGAAAGTGAAGATTCCTTCCCCTGTTTTTTTGTGCTGCTCCCTCCGATTTCCCTCAACACACAGATGCTGTGTGTGAAGGTGAGTGGTCCAATCCCCATCCAGCACCTCGCAGTGTCCCCTCACACGGCAGCACACCAGAACAGTACACCATCCCCCGTTTAGAGAGGAAACAGACACCATTCGCAGCAAGCTGTTATACTTTAATAACAATATATTATAGAGGGCTTTGTGAGTTCATATTGTATCCGTTAAGGGACGGGAAGCCAGTGGAGGGGTGATGTGATCCCGGGAGGTTCTGGATGTACTGGAGTTGATTTAGGATTTTGGATGATGTTTCATGAAGGATACTTTGTCTTAATGAGTCAGCACCAACAAATTCCTGCTCGCATTACAGAATTAATTCTGTTTTTGATATTAACACATATTTTGTACAAAAATTTATTTTGGGGGCGGAAATAATATTTTCTCCGCTTTTGAGCTGGCCTTGTATTCGCCCAGAGTACAATCCAACTGACCTCTGAAATAGTGAGGCTCACCCAGGTGGAATTAACCTGTGGTTATTGACTGGTGCTTTTTTTTTTTTGGTTGGTGAAAAGACGCAGCAGAATTGCTGGAAATAAATTGATAAAGTTGAATCATAAGAGACGGTTACAGGAATGACATATTTTTGAAGGCCAAACCTTGGGAGTTAGCATCGCACCAGTTCCCTCCTCCAAAAAACGGGAGGATTTTATGGTACAACCAGATAATCTTCACTAACGAACGACACTCATTAGTTTTTGAAGCGCAAATGCAAACCGCACAAACCACAAGCAAACTGCTATAATCTACAATGTCTCTGTCGCTGACTCACTTTTGCTGATTGCTGCACAAATACAATTAAGAGCATAATAGAGTTCAATGGAAAAAGGAAATCGTCTCGAGGAATATTTGTGATTGACTGGTAGAGTGAAGCTGACATTTCATACATCATTTAATTAATCCCTTTTGAGAAAAATAATGAAATTTGTGTCAGATTCAGATCAGACGGATGACAGTTTTATTTGTGCGGCAATTAAAAAATATTCACATATAGACTAACGTTGCACTGTTTCTAACCCTTTAAAATATTATATAAGCCTCTGTCACTCATTAAGTGCATTAAGAAATGCTTCATTCTGTCCCAATTTGTAACCAAATTATTACTAAAGGTGGAGGAACTGCTTCTCCCCATCGAGGCTCACGACTGATCCCTTTGTCTATTCTGAAAATATATACGTATGTATATATTTTTAATAATAAGAATGTTTTCTTAATAAAGACAATGGAG